TATTTGAAATAATATACGAAACCTCGTAAACGAACCAGGCGCTATTTATACTTAGGATTTATGATTAACACATGTGCTATTATTTCATTTACAGAAAACAGTTCAATACCATCACTGAACAACACTTATCCATCCTGGAACAGCACCAATCCATCTTGGAATAGCACTATTCCGTCATGGAACAACACCAATCCGAATAATACCAATCCATCTTGGAATAGCACCATTCCGTCTTGGAACAGCACCATCCCGTCATGGAACAACACCAATCCATCTTGGAACAACACCAATCCGAATAATACCAATCCATCTTGGAATAGCACCATCCCGTCTTGGAACAACACCGATCCATCTTGGAACAACACCAATCCGAATAATACCAATCCATCTTGGAATAGCACAATCCCGTCTTGGAACAGCACTATCCCGTCTTGGAACAACACCGATCCATCTTGGAATAGCACCATCCCGTCTTGGAACAGCACCATCCCGTCCTGGAACAACACCATCCCGTCTTGGAACAACACGGGTCCATCTTGGAACAGCACTAATCCATCATGGAACAATACCAGTCCAACTGGAAACCATACATTTATCTTTTAAACATTGAACTAACAATAAAGTAGTGTTTGCATGCTTCAGGATTGTTGTCTATGTCATTAGATTGGGAAAAACCTTACTATTTTATCTTTGAAATATATCTAAATGGAATGAATTCATATTTGAATTAGGACTTCGTATTCAAAGATTTCTCAAAGAAAACATCCAAAGGGCCCATTTAGATCGACTTTTATTTATTACCTAAATCTTATTCTGTAAGATTTGTACACCAATCTGATCTGATCTGATCTAATTTAAGAGCATGGCCTTGTAGGGAACTATGTTGTCTATTGCTCACCAATGGCGTCGAAATATAAAAATGATTTGAAACGCAGAGATAATGGTGTCGATGAAGTTCAGTTTGAAACTGTGCTACCCCACAACGGTAAAATGATACCTTAATTGCAGAACAAGAATTGAAACGTGGATTTGTTTGGAGTTTCTTTTTTTGTTGCTTCTGTACGGAGTACTAAAACATGCCCCTCCCTTAAACTTCAGAATTAGTTAAAGGAATAGAACGTCTTAGAATGAAGGTAAAATTTTAATTTCGCTCAAACCTGGCCAATAACAGTATATTATCAGTGGACTTACCTGGTGTCATAGCTATACATCAAAATCCCTCTATAATCCGATAAATCCACAAAATCAAGTTATGTATTATGAAACGTTGAATACATCCAGTAAGCGATTTTCAAATCGTGAGTCTTGGATATCCGTTGTAATCCTTTCATTAGTATAGGATAAAACACGGCTCGGGGTTTATATGATATCTGACCCTGTCATCGTATGATTTATATCTCATATTATGCTTTTCCTAAAAAAAACAATCCTATCAATTTTAATCCCTACATTGTGAAATATGTCACAAATGACTCTAGGAGCATATTCAAATACAAAAATCTTACTCACTGGTCGCCGACTGAATTGACCAAGTTTGTAGATATGAATTGTACCCCTTTGTTAAGGAAAATGCCTCTTTCATAGAATATTTTGGACCTTAAATGAGAATTATAGAGCATGCATCATAGAATGGATAAATTTGATTTGTATTTGTCGAGAGCTCTGATTGACTGTATTCTCTAGTATACAATCAAATGGTACTTCCGTGAAAAGTGGCTATTGCAGGAGAGCATATGTTTAAAAAACTTTCCCGGGGGAGGAAGAGCCCCAACCCATTTAAGTCCATGGGCCCCCATCCATCTAATTAAGTCCACGGGCCCCCTCTATTTGTTGATGGTGAAAAGAAGACTATCGGCGAAGATGTTCTAACATTAAACTACAAAGGTAAGATATCGTTTGAACACAATTTGCACGTGCCAGTGACTGGATTTGACAAACTAACGTTCTTTCTCAGTCCTAAAGATTCCATAAAAGAGGCTTTCACCGTCAAGGTGGTGCAATTCCTACCTACCAACGTGGTTGATTGAGTCAGCCACCAGTTGCTTTGAAATATTTGTGAAACAAAGTTTAGACAACACAACAGTTTACAACACTCTTTAAAATTATGGGTTAAAATTACAGATAAAACGCCATAGAACACGTTTTAAAACGTAACCGTTTCAAATGTATGTCAAATGAAAAGCCTCATCAAATATATGTAACCGAGTGAAATTACATTAAATATGGATCAGAAAAAGAAAAATACAGTCGTCTCAATGAGACCAAGACGACAGTTCAGAGTACAGCAGTGCTGTCGGATTCCTCTCCTTCCATTCATTCTTCTCTCGTTCCCGCGTCAACCCAAACCGGATCTCACTGATAACAACTGGTAGATCAGGGGAGGGAACTCGCATTAGACTACGAATATTCCGCCCTACAGCTAGACCGAAACAATTCCCTCTCTTCCAGTTTCTGGAAGCTATTTTGAAAGATGTCGGCTGATGGAGAGACAGAAAAACTAGGCCCTGTTTTGTGAGGATTTTCCACAACTCCGAAGTTGTCGGGGGTTTTAATCTTATTTAAATCGGATCCGCTTAAACCAGATAAATTCGTAAAGAAGATAGTTCAATAATATCACCCTTAATCCCCATACACCATATATGTCACGTCTGAAAGTCCATCATCTTTATAATCGAAATTGATCTTTTGTCGGCCAATTAAAACTGCGTAAGGAGTTATTTACTTTTCACCAGCCGAATATCAGAGGCTGGTAAGGAGACTGATGTTTCGGACTACTCGAAAGCTAGACTCAGTACATATGCGTTTCAATACTTCCACGTGTATGTTTTTAGTTTTTTGCAACTTGATGGAAAGGGGATTTCGTACAGTTCTAGAATTTATGAATACTATTTATA